AAAAAAAGTCGGAACCAATACACTTATTACGTTCACATCTGCATTTTACTGTATTTTATCCTAAAAATATTTTTTTGAACTGGACCGACGGCAGTTTTGCTTGGTCGAGCATATTCTAGAGGGCGTTAAAAATTACAGACACCGAGGGGTTCGTGTTCAGACTTTTTTTGGGCCGCAAGGTCCCATAAGGCTGCCGCTTTTTAGCAATCTCTCCTCCATGTTTTTTATACTGAATATTATTAAACGAATCAAACATTTCGTACTGTGATAGAACTCGCAGAATTGACTTAACTTTCTACAAATTTGCGAATCATGATTTGAAAATTGTTATAGGGATACAGAAATGATTTACCGTGCATTCTCCCAGGGTAAGGTCACAAGTGCCCGCGTGTCCGTTGCAGTCGCACCGCACGCATACATGATGATCCTGATAATCGGATCCATTCTTGATCAGTTTCACATACCCCCATGCGCAGCTCTCGCAGGACAGTCCCGCGTATCCCTCGGGGCACTCACACACCTCGACCAAATTGTTACTCTCGCCGCCGGATGCAACCTCTCCGACGGACAAGATCGCTGCTTGTAGACTGAAACCCAAACGAAGCGTTCACGATTTTTAGACTCGATTCATAAATTTTCACATCCCGTAAACACAATGAATAAACTGCCGATTTGTATGCAAAATGAAACATTCATGGTATCAATAAAAGAAATGTATTCTAAGTAGACATGTCTTTTATTATATAAACATTGTGAGAGGCAGTCTTTATCTTTTAATATTTTGTACATTTATAAATCTGATAAAAATCAATAAATTCACTGAAAATTTTTCTATAAACGCATAAAATCTGCTGTTTAATAATTAACTATTGATCGTTTAATTAGAATTTATTCGCCATGCAAACGTTTTTTTTAACGTCGTATTTATTATTCCAGTATCTTCGATCTGACCTGCATTATAATTTTCGAGTGACCAATAATTTCATTTTACTAAGATTTCTCATTGATTCAACTACCTCCCCTCGATCTGCTCGGAATGATACTGCGCCCTGATCATAAGGTACTTGAGATCCGCAAGGACGTTCATCATTTGCACCCTGGTAACGGCGTCGCCGCGAAATTCGGTTCTCCTCAATCTCGTAGGGATATCTTGGATCTCCTGACGCACGTGGTACCAGCCGTTTTCATGCAGGGGCACTGTGATCTCCGCTTCCTGCCCGCTATATTGTTCTTCGCCGTAAGCTATCCGCATGCCGTTATTACCCTGCGA